GGTCAACAGTGAGGTCAACAGTGAGGTCAACAGTGGGGTCAACAGTGGGGTCAGCTGTTTGATGCTGCGGTGGAACACCTGGTGGTGACGAGGGGGCTGACATCCGCCGTGTGTGTGTGTGTGTGTGTGTGTGTGAACACTCACAGCTCTTCCAGGAAGTGCAGTCTGGACAGACCTCCACTGGTCAACACGGTCAGGTGGTTCATACTGAGGTCCCTGGAACAGAGACACAGGTTGGTGATGATGACATCCCATAATGACTGGTAACATGTGACCGGTCCCTCTGAGGCGACCCACAGCTTGAGAACCCACCACCACACTCTTCATTCATTCATTAGCCAATGAGCTCGGAGCTACAGACTGACTGGACCAAATACACTCATCAGGTGATCCGTTCACCTGACCACCTGACAGGAAGTACTGGGGTTGGGGGGGGGGGTGTGTGTGTTGGCTGTTGTACTCCAGCCAACACACGTACTGTGTACAGTGACGTCATGCTGCTTAAGAAGTGATTCAAACTCACAGCAGCGCCACCTGCTGCCTGTTAGAGATCGTTGACAAACAGAACCTGAACAACAAACGTGGTTCAGCTCTGGGTTCTGGTTCCTGAATGGACCTGAACCCGTCAGTGACTGACGTCCGTGGTTATTCTGATATGAGGGACAAACGTGTCAAACAAACCCCGCTGCCTTATGTTGGACACAGCAAGAAAGACACCCCTTTTTAAGACACCCCGCGCGTGTGCGCGTGTGCGCAGAGTAGCAGTCAGAGGACAGGTGCTGCGTTTCTCACGGCGGTATAAAACCACGGTATAAACCACAGATGCTGCGTGTTGTTGTGGGGTCGCTACACCCGCGGCGGAGACTTACAGGTACGAGGTGAAGACGCTCAGGTTTCTCGGTGCCTCCAGGAGTCCCAGGTCCGAGCAGTCAACCCGGTACAAGTGCCCGTCCACCTCACACCGACAGCGGCCAGTGCAGCCTAGGCGACCCGCTACACCACCGGCCCCGGC